CATGGCCCCCCTAAGAACCACCAGGGTAAAAAATCGCGCTCAGCCGTGGATGCACTCCAAAATATTGACCGCTATGAAAACCAGAGACAAGAAATGCTCTGAGTTTCGTAAAAGTCAGTCAAAGCTTTCCAAAAGCTCGAGCAGTGAACTCCAGGCCCACGTGACTGAACTCAAACTGCAAGGAAACAGACTAAGAAATGACGTAAGCTCCATGATCAAAACTGCAAAAAAGAATTTCATCAATAACAAAACTGAGGAAAACAAAAATAAACCCCGTGAACTTTGGAAATTACTCAATAATCTAGGCTGCAGTAAAAAACTTAAAACCAAACTTTCAAACATAAAGACAGATAACAGGCTCATCACAGACAAGCTAGATGTGGCCAATCACTTAAACATTTTCTTCACAAACATAGCCACAACTCTGGTAAATAAACTACCCACCCACTCAGGGCATTGTGGGGTAGAACACATCCTAGCCTACTACAAAAACTTAGGGGTACGCAAAGATGATTTCAAACTAGTAAGGGTAACAACAGCAGAGGCACACATAAAACTGAGCGCCCTCCAACCTAACAAGGCCACTGGCCACGACAATATCCCCTCCAAATTCCTCAGAGACACAGCAACCGCCATCTCACCAGTCATCACACACATAATTAACCTCTCCATAAAACAGGGAAAAGTACCCAAAGACTTCAAAATTGCGAGAGTAACCCCCCTGCACAAAAAGGGCAGCAAATTGGACCCAGGCAACTACCGCCCTGTCTCTATACTTATGAACAGGTCGAAAAGTACCTCTCGGAAAAGAAACTAATCTATGAATTTCAATCTGGCTTTAGAACATCCCACTCCACTGACACATGCCTTCTCTATTTGAACGACCACATCAAACAAGAGGTGGACGAGGGCAAGTACTGCGGCATGGTGATGCTGGACCTACAAAAGGCTTTCGACACTGTCAATCACCCCATTCTGATTGACAAGCTAAAAGCAATTGGTTTTGATAGTCTATCGGTGAGCTGGATGCAATCCTACCTGGAGGGGAGAGAACAGATGGTGGAGGTAAACGGTACTCTGTCCCCCCCCCTCCCAGTGAGCTGTGGTGTTCCACAAGGAAGCATATTAGGACCGTTACTGTTCCTAATGTATGTAAATGACATGTCGTCAGCTTGTGACTGCAACTTGTTCCTGTTCGCGGACGACTTAGCCCTGCTGGTCTCTGACAGGAACAGGTTGCAGGTTGAAAAAACCCTCAGCTCCGAGCTCGGCAGAATCTGCACCTGGCTCGCCGATAATAAATTATCATTACACCTGGGTAAAACAGAGTCCATTCTCTTCGTTTCAAAAAACAAACTCAGCAAGACCGACGGCTTCTCAGTTGCAGTGGGCGATATTATTGTCACATGGAAAGATGAAATTACATACCTAGGTTCCATACTAGAGGCAAACCTCTCCTGTGACAAAATGGCATCCAATGTAATCAAAAAAGTCAACCCACGAACTAGATTCCTATACCGGATCTCCTCTCTGGTAAACAAGAACACCCTGAAGACTCTGGCAGGAGCACTCATTCAAGGGTACTATGACTATGCTTGCACGTCATGGTACCATAGCACCTCCAAGGCGCTAAAAATAAAATTACAAACATCACAAAATAAACTGGTCAGACTACTGCTTGACCTTTCATCTAGAACACACCTCACCTCTGCCCACTTTGACAACCTAGGATGGCTTAGAGTAGACGACAGAGTACAGCTACTTGCAATGGGCCTGGTCTACAAGATCCACTACACCTCTATGGTACCCATGTACATGTCAAAATTCTTCCCAAAGGTCAGTGAATACCATGATCATAACACCAGAGGGAGCTCCACAAATCATGTTAAACCCAGATTTGGCACAAAAAAGGGACGAAACACGTTTCGCAATTATGCCACAACAATGCAGAACGCTCTACCCACAACTGTAAAGCAATGTGAATCACCACCCACCTTCAAAACCTCTCTAAAAAAGCACCTACGGGAGACTGCAATTCGAAACTGGCTCCTGTAAATGTCCAAACCCAACCCCCTACAATATACAGTTTCCCACCCCCCCTTTCATTTTTCATTTCAAACCTTTATTTAACCAGATTGGTCCCATTGAGATCATAGATCTCTTTTTCAAGGGAGACCTGCAGCATATAGGTTCCACATGAAACATAAAACAATAAAGGACATCATACATTATATTTACAGGATACATTTACATAGTTAGACATTTACAAGTGGCCATAGTTGTATATGGCCACTTGTATATACTCTTTTTATACTCACACACAGTACTGTATATTTGTAGATCTGGTATGTCATAAATGTCTAGATGTAACAGTACTGTCTATCTGTATGTCATGTATGTTATGATGAATTAAATGGGGGACCCTGATGTAAACAAGACGAAAGTCTTTTTCTGGTCTGCATCCCCTTAACAATTGTGTGTTTTGAGCTGTACTGTACTGTACTGTACTGTACTGTACTGTACTGTACTGTACTGTACTGTACTGTACTGTACTGTACCCATTCTGCAATCTGTTAATACAATTTTCAATCAATCAATCAATGTGTAATGTCTGTAAACACAACGTATTAAACCCATATTTTTCATTAATAAAGCATGTCTTTTTCTCCTGAGAGCGAGTTCACGTGATGCTGAAAGGACGGCTCTACATTGTTTGTTCTCTCTATGCAGCGAGAGGAGGGGAACCACCGTCAGCTGGTTAATAAAGATCACATCTGGAAGTGATGACGATGTGATGACAGGAAGACAGGAATTTTGTTGTGAATTCCCAACATAATAAAGACGGATGTGACGTACGGAGGAACTGAGGTACGTATAATTAACCGGTCATTATGTAAATACAGCGGGGCTCGGGAATAAACAACACCGAAATATGGAATATTATATTTTGAGGGATTTTATTTTGCCCTTTAAACAAAGAAACGACAATTAAATTAAAAGAAATTCTTAATAACAATTTTTAATACATTTCTAGTGGGTAACATATATCTACAAATATAAAAATATTTAAATGTTAGTCAAGAACTAATCTGAATCCTCTACTTTCCTACATTATACATCACAGAGCAGATTTTATTTGGAAACACTTCTTCAAACACAAATCAAAAATAAAACAAATGGGAAAAGATTTCTAGATACTTAATTATTTAAATTAATAAAAGCATCCTGTCGATGTTATTCTGTTTGTGGTAAGGGTGTGATATCATCAGGGTCATTATCTGTATCTGCAATGATATGTAAATAATTATGAATACTTTTATAAGTCTGATGAAAATGATTTAAGCTTTTAACGCTGTTTAAAAATAGATACCTAGAAACAAGTATCTGCAGCAGAAGAAGAGAGAGTTGAGAGGAAGTACGGAAACCTGTCGAACACCATTCCTTCAACTGGAGAGTTTACACTTCCTCTTCTCTCTACTTTAAAGAGTCCTCTCCTGCTGATGTTCAGGTGTATATCATTATGTAGTGTCTCTACTTTAAAGAGTCCTCTCCTGCTGATGTTCAGGTGTATATCAGTATGTAGTGTCTCTACTTTAAAGAGTCCTCTCCTACTGATGTTCAGGTGTATATCAGTATGTAGTGTCTCTACTTTAAAGAGTCCTCTCCTGCTGATGTTCAGGTGTATATCAGTATGTAGTGTCTCTACTTTAAAGAGTCCTCTCCTACTGATGTTCAGGTGTATATCAGTATGTAGTGTCTCTACTTTAAAGAGTCCTCTCCTGCTGATGTTCAGGTGTATATCAGTGTGTGGTGTCTCTACTTTAAAGAGTCCTCTCCTGCTGATGTTCAGGTGTATATTAGTATGTAGTGTCTCTACTTTAAAGAGTCCTCTCCTGCTGATGTTCAGGTGTATATCAGTATGTAGTGTCTCTACTTTAAAGAGTCCTCTCCTGCTGATGTTCAGGTGTATATTAGTATGTAGTGTCTCTACTTTAAAGAGTCCTCTCCTGCTGATGTTCAGGTGTATATCAGTGTGTGGTGTCTCTACTTTAAAGAGTCCTCTCCTGCTGATGTTCAGGTGTATATCAGTGTGTGGTGTCTCTACTTTAAAGAGTCCTCTCCTGCTGATGTTCAGGTGTATATCAGTATGTAGTGTCTCTACTTTAAAGAGTCCTCTCCTGCTGATGTTCAGGTGTATATCAGTATGTAGTGTCTCTACTTTAAAGAGTCCTCTCCTGCTGATGTTCAGGTGTATATCAGTGTGTAGTGTCTCTACTTTAAAGAGTGCTCTCCTGCTGATGTTCAGGTGTATATCAGTATGTAGTGTCTCTACTTTAAAGAGTCCTCTCCTGCTGATGTTCAGGTGTATATCAGTGTGTGGTGTCTCTACTTTAAAGAGTCCTCTCCTGCTGATGTTCAGGTGTATATCAGTGTGTGGTGTCTCTACTTTAAAGAGTCCTCTCCTGCTGATGTTCAGGTGTATATCAGTATGTAGTGTCTCTACTTTAAAGAGTCCTCTCCTGCTGATGTTCAGGTGTAACAAACACGTGGGTTTGCTGTCCTGGCTCCAAGATGGTGGAATGAGCTCCCCATTGACATCAGGACGGCAGATAGCTTGCACATCTTCCGGCGCAAACTGAAAACTCATCTCTTTCGACTCCACTTCGAGCGTTAGAACGATTAACGAAGCACTTTTATACCAATAAAGGACTGGATTACCTAAAACCAGTTGAGTAGCACTTGAAATGTTTGGCTCTATGAAACTTGATATACTTATATGATTCTGTTTTCTTCAAGGTTGTGTCTTCCTGGTCGAATGTACTTATTGTAAGTCGCTTTGGACAAAAGCGTCAGCTAAATGCAATGTAATGTAATGTAATGTGTATATCAGTATGTAGTGTCTCTACTTTAAAGAGTCCTCTCCTGCTGATGTTCAGGTGTATATCAGTATGTAGTGTCTCTACTTTAAAGAGTCCTCTCCTGCTGATGTTCAGGTGTATATCAGTATGTAGTGTCTCTACTTTAAAGAGTCCTCTCCTGCTGATGTTCAGGTGTATATCAGTATGTAGTGTCTCTACTTTAAAGAGTTCTCTCCTGCTGATGTTCAGGTGTATATCAGTATGTAGTGTCTCTACTTTAAAGAGTCCTCAACATAATTACTACATACACATAATGACATGAAAGCATCTATGACTTCATTATAAAAACACAGCGTGATTATTAGCACCTTGAATCCAGCTATTAAAAAAAACATGATATTTAACTCGATCCCATAATAACTGTACAGTAGTGGTTAGACTCAGCTGTGGTGGGGGTCAGAGGTCAGAGGTCAGAGGTCAGAGGTCAGAGGTCATCTCTTTCCCCAGAAACTCTCTCGTCTCTGAGCTCGCTGCAGGACGACGGACGCCGCCGAGCAGGAAGTCGCCGAACGCCACGACATCGCCGACAAACGGTCGTCTAGGAATCGAGAGGACACATTTAAATAATGAAAGAAGGTAACTAATGTACAAGACAATAACAACAACAAAAACATGAACCAGGAATATACGAACAAGGAGACAACAGGGCGAATTACAGGGAAGATTGTTAAACTATTATTTTTCTACTTACAGAACTTACCGTATTTATTAACATTATTTATATTAATATTATTATTTATGTAGTATTAAAATGATCATTTATCTATTTAATTTACTAATTAACTTAATAATACTAGTTTTAATAGATATTGGTTGTTGTTGTTGTTGTTGTTGTTGTCGTACCTTCATGGTGGCTGCAGCCTCCTGAACAACACAGCTGCTCTCTGAACCTCAGCCCCAGATCACCTGAGGACACACACATTATTGATATACAGGAGGGACAGTCATTGGTATTGATGACGACTCTTTTATTAATATTTTATTTTCCAGCTCGTTGTGAAAGGAGATCTGTTGATGAGAAGGAAGTGAGAAGGAAGTGAGAAGGAAGTGAGAAGGAAGTGAGAAGGAAGTGAAGCGAGGGGAGAAACAGAAACACCTCCTTTTTTTAAATAAACAAAATCAGAGTTATGGACTTTCTCAGTTGTTGTTTTTTTGAAGATTTGAAAACAACCATACAATTCAGAGGCCTGTGCTCCGAAGCCGGTTCAGCAGACCCTGGTATGTTCGAGTTACCCGGTTTACCTAACCCAAAACAAACGCGCTCTCGCTAAGCGGTCCTACCACGCTGGTTATCAACTCGGTAACTCAAGCCAGGGTTTCTCTGTCCGGCTGAGTGCGCGTTCACATGAAAGGGGCGGGGCTAGCAACGTTTGACCAATCACAAACATGGACAAGCGTACTGACAGCGCGTCATACTTCCTGAATGAAAAGTCAACTATAATATTAGACATTTGAAGAAGTTAAACTTTAAACATCCAGGACTTAAACACTTGATCCAGGATCAAAGCCACAGAGCTGCACCTGCAAGGTGAACACAGCTGGTAACAGAACAAGAGTTTGAATGCGTACATTAACAGGTTTATGATATCACTGCCCGTCTAAGACACCATCTGACTTTCATTACATTTGACTTCAGTGTTTCCTCAACTTAATGTGTTGCTTCAAATAATGCTTCTGCATCCAGTCTGTGACGCTGTGAGTGTTGCACGGCCAGATGCGGCTCAGCTGACTCAGATCAGGAGATGATACATTATGAAGTGATATGGACTGTACTTAATGTTACTCTGATCCGGTTACTTATGTTGTGGCAGATATTTAAGTAAGCTTTCTTAACGCTAATGTTATATTAGTCAGATTGCTCTGAAGATGGAGCTGATATTCTATTCATGTTCACGTTCACACAGTCGCTGATTTTTGCCGGCCGTCTTTTCTGTATTTCCTTTCTCCTGTAATATTACTTGATCGCTTTAAACTCCGCACACTGAGCTCTGATTGGTCAGCAGGCGGTGCTTTCACTGAGTTGATCTCTTAGCCTGCAACCTAACCTGCTCCGGACCAGGCTAGCCCAGGGTCGGCGTCATGGGGGTCATTCGCGGGCCATGCCCCCCCAAATGAGTCACTGTGCCCCCCCAACGCAGGGTGGGCAAGCCTAGCCACTTTGCCGTTTAAAAAAAAAAAATCATATAAGTGAAAACGTTTCCACTAAAGGTTTTTTGTGTGAAATACGTCAGAAATAAAGAATACAAATATAAAACACAGCCTGAGCTGTGCTCACTGCTGCTCTCTGATTGGTGTGTTGCTTGACCAATGACCTTAACCTTTGTTTTGTTATCATTACGTGGCTGTGTGTTTAGATGAAAGCCCGGTGGCGATCTGTTCGTCTGTTATACTGATTATACAGTAAAGCCAACGAAAATAATATGATATACAGTACAGTACAAGTACATGGGTCTCTGTGTTTCATTCAAGCTCGGCATCTGTGTGTGTGTGTGTGTGTGTGTGTGTGTGTGTGTGTGTGTGTGTGTGTGTGTGTGTGTGTGTGTGTGTGTGTGTGTGTGTGTGTGTGTGTGTGTGTGTGTGTGTGTGGCACGAGCACATTTTGTGAGTGCGCAAGCGGTAACGTGGAATGTTGTTGTTAGCATCTGGTTAGCTAGCTATGCTAACGGATATAAAGGGCTGTTTCTACACCAAGGTGGAGGAGAGTCCTCTCCTGTCAGACTGAGAGGATCGTATAACCTCAGCTCAGTGAGGTAAGGACTCTCAGTGTTTAGATAGTTCACTTTAGTGTAGGTTATCTCAGTGGGTCTCAAACGGTTTGGTCACCATTTATGTAAACCAGTATTTGCGAGGAATACCTTTATATGATCATTATAGTTATTAAAGAATAAGAGAATAAATAAAAAACGGGTATGAAATACTATAGGACAGTAACACAAGAATACAGTTTAAAAGGGGAATGATTAGTGAAATATCCATAAAGAAAAAGTTAATCTGCTTCCAGTTCTGTTTCATATGGATGCTGAGAGATGTATCCGTAGATCTCTTCATGTTGCTCTCAAAGTGCACCAGATTGATGCTTTTAACTTCAATATTTTTTAAATAATCTTCCCGGGGGAGCAAGCCCCCAGACCCTCCTAGAGGAGGTTAGGTCCACCCCCACCTAAAACATGTTCACATGGATAGGATACTAAATACATTTGCACCCTTTTTGTATGGCGGCCTATGTCCATATGTTTCTGTTTTGGTGGTCGTGCCTCTACCGTGCATATATGCAGAAGTCATGGTGCGCTATACAATAGCACTACACCCTGCAATGTGTGTGAAAGACAATAGACTTTACAGCATGTTTTTTGAAGTTGCGTTTGTGTGTTGGTTGTTGACGGCAGTGTGTGCCCCCCCTTTGTAAATGATTTCCCCCCCATTCGATTTGTTCTAGAGCCGACCCGGGGTTAGCCGTTCAACATCAGTTACCATGGAGATCTAGCCCGCTAAGAAGAGAACCAGCGTCGTAGGACCGGAAACCCAGAGTTAACCCTGAAGTTAGCCGCTAAGCGAAAATCCGGCTTCGTAGTACAGGCCTCTGGTGGGCATCCCTTCATTTAATATTTATTTTATTATTGAAATGTATAAAAATAATTAACCTATTCTAAAAACTAACAACACATTTAAATAATAAAATTGACAAATTGTTGACGATTTATAGATAATCTGATTAATATAAACAAATGATCGTAGTGATCGAACGTTTCATATTTATTTAGGGTTTTAAAGTAAATAAAATCCTCAGTTGTTTTTTTCTGGAATAATTATAATAATAAGGCTATTTATTTATTTATTTATTTATTTATTTATTTATTTATTTATTTATTTATTTATTTATTTATTTATTTATTTATTTTTAGTAAAACAGAATAAAATAAAAAGAATAATAAAAAAGCAAAAATAAATATGTCCTGATCGCAAAACACTTTAATATATATCATATAAGTTCTAATAGTAATAAATAAGTTATGTTATTAGTTGGCTTCATGTTGGACTGTTGCAAAGTTTCATAAGTTTTGTTTTCTGATAAATAACTAGTAAGCAAACTCTTTTTTACAGTTTGATGCCCCGGCCACACGAGGACGAAAACGGCTAAATGCATAGGATTAACGCAAACGCAATCGCAAAAAAGCTTCCGTCCACACGCAATAGTCATCCGGATAGTGTCTGTCCACACGAGACAGCTCCGTTTAGCTCCAACCGCTGGAGAAGCTGCAGTACATATGCCGAGCCTGTACGTGGCGCTGTAACTTCCTCCACAAAAGCAGCGAAGAAGCATGGTTGTCATGGTTGCCCTTCTGTGTATTCTCCGCGGTGGGGGCCGAGGGAACCGGGCCGAGTTTTTCGCCAGTCAACGTGTATTAAAGTTTAAATCTTCCGACAAAATTATAAAAGTGCCGGTCAAAGGTCTTCTTTGTTATTTATTGAGCTTTAAAACAAATGAATAATGAATCTATATAATATAATAATAAAATACAAGGAGCCTCTCTTTTTCCTCCCTCTCTTCGGACAGCGCCAGTGTCTGTCTCATGCAGCAGCTGATCCAGTAATGAGTGACCCGGCCGACAGTAAAAATAAACATATTTATAACTAGTTTAGGTAGTTTGAGAGGTAATTAAAATAGCTAAGGGTGATGATCTGACTTGAAGTGTGTGTTTTACTCCGTTCACCGCCGCATCACAGCGGGAGGAGCTGCAGGTGAGCAGAGCTGCGTGTCTCCGTCCTGTCAGATTAGACTTCACTCGCGTTTAGGTCCATATCGAGAGAAAGATAAATAATCTGAATTCAGTGTGCAGTTTACTTTGACGCGGGGGTGAGCAGCAGAGGTGGGGAGAGGCGGGGCTATTGCGCAATCATTATCAGAAAATGGTCGTATAGGGCGTACACACGGAGCCGTTGGACCCCCCAGAGCGTTGCGTATGCCGTTCTATCCACCTTGGGACCCGTTATCGTTTACGCAGTCGTTTAGTGCCGTATTCGGTCGTCCTCGTGTGGCCGAACGGTCTATATGACACTAAACAGTAACGCAAACGACCGTTTTCGTCCTCGTGTGGCCGGGGCATGAGTTGTATTCTTCTTTTTAAGGCAAAATGCTTGACAGTTGCTGCTTCCATCTAATTTTGGGAACATTTGTTCACTGTTTTCTGATATCAGCGAGTAAGCTTGATTGTTCCTGTAATTTATTCACTTATTTAATGTTTTAAAAGTTGCAGGTTAATATCTTAAACTCCTCACCGTTGTGCTGGAAGTCGGCGGTCCTCAGAGTGCCTTGAATACAGTGCTGAGGGGGCGGGGCTACAGGAGGAGGGGAAGTCTGCTTCATCCTGATTGGTTTAGAGGCAGGACTGACAGTTGGCCTGTTGTCGGGGGACGAGGCAGATGTTTTGGAGTGGGCGGAGTTATGTTCAGACCACGCCTCCTTCGGGGTGATCTGCATAGCAACTGTAGTCTCCGCCCCCGCTGCCATGGAAACAGAGGAGCCACATCTCTGGACACAACAAAAAAACAAACATCAGAAACTAATATATGTTATTAAGTAATATAATATATATAATTAAAATAATATAACTGAATTATATGTAACGTTAGTTAATTTAATATAATCAAGTGCATTTTTAAAAAACATAATATAGTTTAATTTAATTCTATATCATGTACAAAAATATGTTCTAATATTATAATATAATATAATTTAATTAAATGTAATAAAGCTTAGTCTAATGTAATATATTTTAATATAAAATAATATATTGAAATAAAATAATTTAATATAATATCATATCATATAATAAAATATTATAGAAGCTAATGTTGTATAATTTAATGTAACATAATATACTGTAGCAGCAATTAGAACAATTATACAGCATTTTAATGATTGATTATAATATCACCTGTTTGTTTGCTGATGATTCATTACCGCTCTTCATTTTTCCCACCAGTATAGCGCCTCCTGGAGGACAAACAGAGGTCAGAGGTCACACCGAGAGGGGGGTGTGTGTGTGTGTGTGTGTGTGTTGGTGTGTGTGTGTGTGTGTGTGTGTGTGTGTGTGTGTGTACCAGTGGCAGGTGTGGTGAGATCATGGTGAGTTCTCTGAGTCGGTCGTATCTTCAGCCTCGGAGTCGGTAACCTTCCCTCCTCCCTACACACACACACACACACACACACACACACACACACACACACACACACACACCACACACACACACACACCATACACACACCACACACACACAGCACACACCACAAGCACACACACACACAGCACACACAGCACACACACACACACACACACACACACACACACACCAACACACACACACACACACACACACACACACACACACACACACACACACACACACCACACACCCAACACACACACACACACACACACACACACACACATCACAACACACACACACACACACACCACACACACACACACACACACACACACACACACACACACACACACACAATGACATTTCTCTCTAAAATGCTGCACAGTTTCTTCCTCTAATACGCGGTTAATCTTCTGCGGTCGGAAAGAGTATTTTTTTAACGGCTTCTTAATCCACTTTACAAGAGTAGTATTCAGAGTACAGATTTCTTCTAGATCTTACTCGTCTGTTTCTTCTTCTTCTCCCCAGACCGAACGTCTCTCAGGAGTTTTAGTTCTTCCGGAAGCTGTCGACCTCTGACTGGAGTTACTGCAAACAAAAACACAATTAGACATCAGCAGATAGCGAAGATTTCCCATGATGCTCTCTGACGTCTCACCTGTTGAGCTCCAGAGCCTCCACAGGTGACGGGGGGTCAGAGGTCAGAGGGTGAGGGGAGGGGGGGTAAGAGCAAGAGCTGGCCGCCTCCCACAGAGCGTTGTGATTGGACAGCAGCTGGCTCAGGTGGTCTCTGCAGAAGTTCGATCCCCACGCCCGACGACGGTACGACATCGCCTGCTGCCGCAACTCCTCCACCTGCAGGGAGAGTCCGTTTTATTAAACAATACGTTTTACAAATCATTATTATTATTATTAGAGGTTTTCAGTTGCTATAGATCAGTGGTGTCAAACCCAATTTCAACCCGGGCCACATCAGCATTAAGGTTGGAACTTTAAGACTATATAAAATACATATATAAAATAATGTAGTATATTACTTTACTGCCTCTGCATTGGATGCTTATCAGATAGGGTAATAACTTCATGATTAACTACGTCTGAAAGCAGAAGTCTAGGGCAAATAATTGCAATTCTCTTCAGTGCGCATATTACAAAATGAGATGCATTGTGGGACATGTAGTTTATGGGCAACGCGGTTCTGTAAAGCGGAATGTAACCTATTATATACTTTCAGAGCTCTTGAGGGAAACATGAAATGAAGCCTTGAGTTTGACCCCTGCTGTAGACGGTTAATCAGCTGATTGCATCGTCATATCAGTAACTTCACTACGGTTTCATCACGTAGTAGAATATGTTCAAAAAACAGTCAAACGAGATATGTTTCAAAATAAAAGCGCCGCAGCGTTTCCAGTGGACGGACGGACAACTTATTGTGTCATGGTTTTTAATTCTATTAACGTGTTTTCTTTCATTATAATACACCAGGAGTTTTTCTACTGTGTCTCTGATCTTGTATATAAGATATATACATTCTCGTGAACAAGACGTCTCCTGACGTAAACAACAACGTGACGTCGGAGCTCCGTGAAAACAAAGCTGTCTCTGACGCTCTGTTTGATACTCAGATTTCTGGAGTCATTCAACAGTTTTTGAGGAACAGAAATATTGTTTTCTGGCATCATTTTAACATTTGACGGGAAAATCTGCTTTTCGGTTTGAGGGCGCGGCGCCCCTGTTACCCGGTGCAGACTGAACCCTGATTATATAAGTCTATTTCTGATTCAGGAAATACAATCGGACAGTTTTGAAGTCTTCTTGTCAAAATGCTGCTGACTTCACAGAAACAGAAGCAGGGATGGTGATGAGTGCAGGATGTGTAGAAACCATGACGACTGATATCAACAGCACCGAGGGGAAATACTGAATGAACATCTCCAGATGGGGGTTATTACGTTTGTGAAATCTCATCGAAACAGAATCCAGGTCAGATCAGAGTGTTTCTGTAATTACTGAGTGATCCAGGTAACGGTAACCTGACCCCGGATAACCACACACACACACACACACACACACACACACACACACACACACACACAACACACACACACACACACACACACACACACACACACACCACACACACACACACACACACACACACACACAAACACACACAACACACACACACACACACATGCCTGACACAGTCACACACACACACACCTGACGCTGCACACACACTTCCTCGGTTCCTCTGAAACACGTCAGTTTCACATTGAGAGCCTCACCACAGGGAGGAAAGTGACAGATCGCCCCCAGATTCAGAGGTCATGACCTCATCTCTGCTCATACTATATATATTAATATTACCTATTTTATATATATTTATTACACTGTCCATAATATGTAAATCTGATCTACAGTGTATTTATAACTATACTATTGAATCAGAATACTTTATTTATCTCGATATAAATTGGATTTCATAACAGACTTTTTTTTGTTTGCAAATTATTTATCTAATATATCATATTCCAATTGCTTGTATATAGACTCTCCTTGCACTATTTCTATTCTATTTTATTTTATTTCCTTGCAGTATTGCATCTGTGTTATTGTGTTGCTCGGTTGGAGGAGCCTGAGACCCTGACATATCTACACTGTAGCTCTGTACACACCTTGGATCTCTAATCTTTTCAAATCCCTTTGTCTGATGTTGAAGTTGTTTTAAACCTGCTTAAAAAAGGCTCTCTAATGTGTTCTTTCAATAAGAGCAACAGGTAGGTGTTCGCTCTTAATAACCTGTTTAGCCCTGAGCCTGTTTTTCAGGTCTCAGGCTCGAAAATTACATTCCCAGAACAAATGACCATATCTTATAAAAGCGTTAAATTAATAATATTGTATCTCAAAGTAATGATAAACCTGTGAGTTGGATGTAGAAAAGTCAGAATCAATATAGATGTTTTTTATTTTAAAGAAAATTCAGATTGAACACAGTAAAAAACTGTAAATTATAGTGTCGGTCCAAAAATTATTTTTTACTTATAGTGAAAACTAACCTTGAATGATGGGATGGTAGATTAAAAGCTTTAGGAATCCAAAGTACAACATATAATAAGTACCCTGTATCAAGATTGATGCAAAACAAGTGACATTTGACCTTTTTAGACAGATTTAGCCAAAAAAACCTCTTCTGGGGCCATTTGGGTGGCTTTTCCTTATCTCTGGCCCCCCTTCTTAGATTTTGACCGTTAGAGCCAATAGAATCGAGGGGGAATCGTCCCGCACACACTCATGTTAAAAAAAAGGTGGCGGTCTCTGCGCATGCAATCTTGCTTCAGAGTTTAGGAATATCCCTGCTCTGATATTTGAAAACGGAATTGCAGTTTTATTGCTTATAGATTATCAGAACATTTCAAAGGGGACACAGACACATTAGATATTAACCTATGGATTAACTACAGCATCTTTGTTATCGTTTGAATGCCATTGAAGACCAGTTTAGACCAGACAAAGACCTAGGTAAGCCATGTTAGGGTTGTGGGCTACCTAGCGCTACTTGTTTTGATGTACGTTTTTGTTGATAACGTCGCAAGTTTGGATCTTTCAGTGTTGAGGTGGGCACCGTTAGATTCTGTGTCTTTACGATCATAAACGATGTGTTGGATGTGCAGCTAGGATAAGTAATAAGGGAGCTAGGAGTGATTTTCGGTGCAGTAATAGGTTAGCATGTTTCGCTCTGGGCTAATTCAGAGGGTCACTGTTAGCATTGTGTGTCTTTTTCAAAAATGAAAAAGATCAGTTAAATGAGTTTTTCCCCGTTATATGGATATAAAATATTCATAGTTTATTAAATATTAAGGTTCCTTAGACGTTGTTTCCTGCAAATGATGCGATTTCGGCCCCGGAACCGGGTCCGTGGGGCTTAAGCCTTTAAAGTACTACAGAGGTCATTTTTAATACGGTTGTTTTATGTTTGAAGAACACCTACACCTACTTGTTGCTCTTATTGAAAGAACATATTAGAGAGCCTTTTTTAAGCAGGTTTAAAACACCTTCCAGCAGTTTGATCAGACAAACTAATAAAAGGGTTAATTCCTCCGTGGCATTCTCCCAGCTACCACCCAGTGAACGGATATCAGCAGACCGTTGGAAGGAAACTCAGATTGGTTTTTGATATTGCAGTGTTTGGCACGAAAACTAAAACGCCATGACCCACAGCCAGAAAGTGTGAAAATATTCTTTAAATATCAGGGATACAAATGTAAAAGAGACATTTGTAGAATTGTTTGTCCTGCACAGGTTAAAGGGATCTTCTTCATGTCGTGTGCATTAACTTTTCGGCCAATAAAAGTGTTTCATCTTACCCCTTACTCATACGACACTTTCCACCTACCTGTGTGTGTGTGTGTGTGTGTGTGTGTGTGTGTGTGTGTGTGTGTGTGTGTGTGTGTGTGTGTGTGTGTGTGTGTGTGTGTGTGTGACTAACAGAGAGTTGTTTCCCTGAAATGAAGCTCTGTGGTTTTACCGCTGACACTCAGCACTCTAGTTTTCCATCAGCAAAACACACACACAACAAAAAGTTGATCTCAAATCCCCCTGAACACCAGAGGAACTGATAACTGCCAGATCAACCGTCCACCACAGTTGGATTCTAGATAACAACAAGCAAAAGTGAGATATCTTCCTCCTCTGATCCATAGAGTCTGTCTCAAATCTCACACACACACACACACACACACACACACACACACACACACACACACACACACACACACACACACACACACACACACACACACACACACACACACACACACACACACACACACACACACATCACACACACACACACACACACACACACACACACACACACACACACACACACACACACACACACACACACACACACACACACACACACACACACACACACACACACACACACACACACACACACACACACACACACACACACACACACACACACAACACACACACACACACACATCACACACACACACACACACACACACACACACACACACACACACACACACACACACACACACACACACACACACACACACACACACACAGATAATTATGTCAGAAAATACATTCAATCTGAAATCTAATCAAGTGTTGAATCAGACTTTAGTTCCACCTGGAGTAAATCCACCAGCTACCCTGCAGTATACAAAGTCATTCAAACTAGCTGCACCTTCACCAGCTTTGAGAACACTTTCATGATCAATCATTATAAAACATATCATATATATTATTCTGAAATGGACCAATCTGCACAACGACTACTTTTACTGTCTTTCACTATATTTTGATGAGAATACTTTTCTACTTTCACTTGAGGAACATTTTGAATGCAGGACTTTTACTGTAACAGAGTATTCCTACACTCTGGTACTTCTATTTTTACTCAAGTACAAGATCTGAGTACTTCTACTTTTACTCAAGAACAAGATCTGAGTACTTCTACTTTTACTCAAATACAAGACCTGAGTACTTCTACTTTTACTCAAGTACACGATCTGAGTACTTCTACTTTTACTCAAGTACAAGACCTGAGTACTTCTACTTTTACTCAAGTACAAGATCTGAGTACTTCTACTTTTACTCAAGAACAAGATCTGAGTACTTCTACTTTTACTCAAGTACAAGATCTGAGTACTTCTACTTTTACTTAAGTACAAGATCTGAGTACTTCTACTTTTACTCAAGAACAAGATCTGAGTACTTCTACTTTTACTCAAGTACAAGATCTGAGTACTTCTACTTTTACTTAAGTACAAGATCTGAGTACTTCTACTTTTACTCAAGAACAATATCTGAGTACTTCTACTTTTACTCAAGTACAAGATCTGAGTACTTCTACTTGTACTCAAGTACAAGATCTGAGTACTTCTACTTTTACTCAAGCACAAGATCTGAGTACTTCTACTTTTACAGCTGTGTGGTGTTTTCCATGAGTTCTTCCATTGTTTTCTGTTGTTTACACATGACAATACAGCCGTTGAATATTTGAGCCTCTTAAATTAGAGGATTTCTTAAAGTGGACCTATCATTAGGGTTGGGTACCGAGAACAACATTTCGATTCCAACGGCATCATTTAGAAATGTGAATTTCGCTCCGCTTTTCGATGCCTGAGGAAATGTTTCTCGCCGCTCTCCGTAGCCTACTGTAACCTGAGACCAGGGGCCTCATTTATAAAGCGATATACGCTAAAAAAATGGCGTACGCCAGTTTCTACGCAATGTTTGCGATTTATAAAATACTAACTTGACGGGAAAATGTGCGGTCCTCCACGCAAACTCTAACCCATGCGTACGCACTAAGCACAAAAACGGGAGAGACGAGAAACTGCGACACCGTTGGCAGAAGGAAGAATGGAGAGAAATATGTGGAAATAATACCATAAACAAAATGTTACCTCTCATTTATCATATATGAAGAATTCATTTTCAAACATTGATTAAAGCCAATCTTAAAATGATTAAACAAACGCCTGTTTGCGACTCCTCAGTGCACACAAAAACATAACTTGGAGAAATAAATAAATACGGATATGTTATTGAAAACCATCTCGAATATGTTGTGTTAATGTTATGAAATGTTTTCTCATAAATGATGCGGTGAGCAGGAGGACAGCATTACTTTAAACTGACGCCGTGTTGCATTTCTATAGGTTGTAGATACGAGCATGGTTTTATATACTATCACGTTTAATCGTGTTTTATGCCGTTTGCCAAGACTTGATACGTCGCTCGTAAAACACAGGAGGTATGAAAGCTAAGAACACTATATGTGGTAAATTGTACAGCTGATATAACACAACCTTTTTCGGGCCATTTATTTATTTATTTTGGTGACGATCCGACCTCCATGCTGCTACTCTGGTTCAAACTGCATCCACCAAACAATATGATTTATCTCCACCTCCCAAAATAACCCACATCTGACACGGCGTGAGATGTATTTTTTAACTGTTCTGTCGTCATTTCCTGCGATCTTCTCCATGCAGTCAGTCAGAATGAATGAATGGGCGTTTCTTTGACTATTTATAGGCAAATATGGGCGTTACGTGAAGCCCGCAAAAGCTGCACCGCATTTCGAGTCGGTTGTGATTTATAAAGGGAAACCGGCGTAGGAAGTGCCGTACGCACTTTCCTCGCCGGTGCGCAATGTTTGGTGAATCGGGAAGTGGCAGAAAATGTATGGACCTATTTTTCGGATTTCTACTACGTAAGCAACCTTCCCACGTGAATCCTACGCACTGCGTTATACATGAGGCCCCAGGGCCGGCCCGTCGCACTGGCGTTATAGATGTTCGCCTTGGGCGCCAGATCTGTGGAGGCGCTGCGCTGACAGCTCTGGGAGGAAACAAAATGTTTTGACCGTTGGTGCTCATCCTAATGTTCGGCCTTGATGTAACAACATTCATAATTAAGTAAATGTAACACCCTTTTCACCCCGGTTACACTTTTCATTTGCCCTGTACGATGGGCGCTGTAAGTGATGAAAATGGGGGATGTTGGCTTATCTGGCGCCCGCAGCTCACAGCCAAAGTGCGAGTGAGCGAGGGAGGGCGCTGTTGTTATTAGCATCTGGTGCTAGCTGCTCTAACGGAAGAAGAAGATGTTTCTACAATGATGTGGAGGGAGAGTCCTCTCCAGTCAGACTGAGGCTGATAACTACAGCTCAGTGAGGTAAAGGACTCTGAGTGTTTAGATAGTTCACTTTAGTCTAAGTTCAAACGGTTTGGTCACAATTTATGTAAACACATATTTCCAAGGCACTCCTTTATAATGATTGGGATAAAACAGGTTTGAAATCATTCCAATGTATACTATAGGACAGTAAACCAGACATATCGTTTTAAACTGAAGAGATGAAAAAATATGCATAAATAAAATAAGATATGAATGAACAACAAAAATAAAAGACGTTACATGTATTTGTTATTGGCTATGGGTTACTGGTTATGCTCACATACTTATTTAATTATGAAAATGTAAACCGATCTTTTTCATATGGGTGTTTAGAGTTGTACCCCCTAGATCTAGTCTCTAGTCATTCTGCTCAAAGTGCACCAGATTGAAACATTTTACTTTAACATGTTCAAACATTTCTTCCCGGTTTCCCTGAGAGGCAGATCTGCTTGTTTCTCTCAACAAGAACTGTTTTTAAATGGGGGGGGGGGGGTTCCTTTCAAAGTTGCACTGTTGTAGCTTCAGTGGTTCTCAGGTACAGTTACATAGCAGTGAATATAAACAGACTGATTAATATGAATATTACTGTAAACTAACCTGTGTAAAAGTTTCTCGAATAAATGTAATGTTTTTGGTGGAAGGAGCATGCATCGTGTTTTTACCCCTCAAAGAATCGGAATTGAGAACCGTTAAGAACCGGAATCGAAAAGTAGAATCGGAATCAGAATCGTGGAAATTCAAACGATATCCAACCCTACCTATCATGCTATATTTGAATAATATGTTGAAGGGCCATACTTATATAAAACATGTCTGTGAAGTTTTTCAAAATACCAAACAGATCCTGCATTTTAGCCTCATTTCGCTTTATTTGCTCTTTTCCAGCCGTAAGGGCTGAATCTGTGAGAAGTCTTCTTCGCTGCTTTTGTGGCAGACTACAGCGCCACCTACAGGCCTGGCATATGTACTACAGCGTCTCCAGCGCTTTCGAACGGCAATGGCCGTGGCTGTCTCCCCCTGATAGGTGGAGAGTTGGCCATATAGGCGGAGCTCCTCGTTTCTGACGTCAGAGATATTTCAAATCTGGATCCGTCTGTTTGAGATCCGTTTTTAGAGATTTGGGTATGGAGGAAAAGAGAGAGGGTTGAGTTCCCTGACACACCGGGGACACATATTCATGTATAAAAGACGTACAAAAGTGCATTTTGCATGATAGGTCCCCTTTAAAACTAAATGTTTCTGGTTGTTTAGTAGGAAATTAGACATTTAAAGAGGTCACATTTGGCGCTGTGAATGTGATGGACACCGTTTGCTGTTTCATAGACTTCATGATGGGTCAGAATGAAATGAATCTGTGTTTGCAGCGGTGTTTAAAGTCATGGTTATTAAGATGTCCTCTGACCTGACGGGCGTCTCGGTCCGAGGCTCCGTTTCTCTCGGGGATTCTGCAGAGAGGAGAAGAACAGCTGGACTGAAACTCTGTCAACACTAGGGCTGCAACAAACGACTAATTTGATAATCGATTAATCTATCGATTAATGAATCGATTAATCGACTATTCGGACTATTATTGTACGCCTTGCACAATTTCTCAAACGCTCTGATTCAGCCATCAACTTTTAGATGTAGCTTGAGGTTGTTTTAGGCATGTGGAAACTAACAAGACAATAAAGATGAATACTTATATTATTAAACTAACTAAACACATTTTGAACAAAACTAACATTGCTTTTTATTAATTAAATGCATAATATTTCACATCAAAAGAAACAACAATGTTTTAACAAATCGTATTAAATAATGTGATGACAGAACTGTGAACAGAATAGCTGAAACTTTAACAAAATAAATAACTCAGTTTCCTCTAATCATTAACCCATGTTTGTATAACTGAGTTAACTCTGTGTGGTGCTGCTAGCATACAGAACACCTGACGGGGAAACGTTACTCGTGGACGGGGCTACAGAGCTGCTAGCAGAGTGTGTGTAAACGGCCCCGCCCCCTCGCACACAGACGAGGGAGAGAGATCGCGTCTGGATTGGAAAGATCGAAAATATATCATAGACGCATTTTTTTGTCTTTTTGCATATTAGAAACGAGTTGGCGAAACTAAGAGTGCGATATAATGCTTATGTAGCAATAATACATGACATGTATTTTTTAAATGTCTCCAGTACCGATAAAAAGACCAATAACGTTGGAGCTTAACGGCGCGTAAAACACACGTGATGACGTCACCAACGAATCGACGACTGAATTAGTTGGCAACTAATTTGGTAATCGATTTTAATCGATTAAGTCGATTAGTTGTTGCACCCCTAGTCAACACCCTGTCACACACACACACACACACACACATATTCTACTTTTTTTTGTTTCCTTTCTATTTTGAGATTTTTACATTTTAGAATTGTAATTTAATTTCTCCAATGTGCAATGCCTTGTCTTTTATGCTGATGCAAAGCAAACATTTCCCAAATATGGGATCAATAAAGTACTTATTATCTTCCACAGAGCTGTACCAGAGGAGATTATCCCGCTTTAATTTCCATATCGGGATATGAAACTAGAGAGAAACCGTCTGGGGAGGAGATAGGCCGGAGAATCGGAGCAGCGGGAGCGGTACTGCAGTCGCTTTACCGCACCGTTGTGACGAAAAGGGAGCTGAGCCAGAAGGCAAAGCTCTCTGTCTACCGGGCCATTTTCGTTCCTACCCTCACCTATGGTCATGAAGGATGGGTCATGACCGAAAGAACGAGATCGCGGATACAAGCGGCCGAGATGGGTTTTCTCCGCAGGGTGGCTGGTGTCTCCCTTAGGGATAAGGTGAGAAGTTCGGTCATCCGGGAGAGACTCAGAGTTGAGCCGCTCGGAGTTGAGCCGCTCCTCCTTCGCGTCGAAAGGAGCCAGTTGAGGTTCGGGCACCTAGTAAGGATGCCACCTGGGCGCCTCCCTAGGGAGGTGTTCCAGACACGTCCAGCTGGGAAGAGACCAAGGGGTAGACCTAGGACCAGGTGGAGGGATTATATCTCTTCGCTGGCCTGGGAGCGCCTTGGGATCCCCCAGTCAGAGCTGGTTGATGAGGGGAAAGGAACGTTTGGGGCTCTCTAATGGAACTGCTACCCCCGCGACCCGACCACGGATAAGCGGGAGAAGATGGATGGATGGATGGATGGATGGATGGATGGATGGATGGATAGATGGATGGATGGATGGATGGATAGATGGATGGATGGATGGATAGATGGATGGATGGATGGATAGATGGATGGATGGATGGATAGATGGATGGATGGATAGATGGATGGATGGATGGATGGATGGATGGATGGATGGATAGATGGATGGATGGATGGATGGATAGATAGATAGATGGATGGATGGATGGAGGATGGATAGATGGATGGATGGATGGATGGATAGATGGATGGATGGATGGATGGATGGATGGATGGATGGATGGATGGATGGATGGATGGATGGATGGATGGATGGATCTCATTTATTCTGATAATCTCTTAGATTTAGGATTTAATAAGAACATTTAAAGCGAGGATTTCTTATAACATACATCAAAGACAGGTAAGACCATCACCCACTGAAACGCACCTGTTTGTTCTGTGCACCTGAGGAGGAGGGGGGGGCGGGACTTCCTGTTTCTGAGGGGTCGGGACTTCCTGTTTCTGAGGGGTGGCTACTTCCTGTTTGGGGCGGGGCTTCTTCTCTGGCTCCTCCCTCCTCTTCTTGTTGGTCTGGAGAGAAAAATAGAAGCTTTAATGAGAAGATTTACTTTTTTTTTTACATTTCATTACATTTGTATTAAAGTCTTGGTCCTTCATACAGAAATAAGTGTGTGTGTGTGTGTGTTTGTGTGTGTGTGTGTGTGTGTGTGTGTGTGTGTGTGTGTGTGTGTGTGTGTGTGTGTGTGTGTGTGTGTGTGTGTGTGTGTGTGTGTATTTCCACTACAGCGCGGAGCACGGTTTAAGCATGCGTGCCGTTTTTGGTTGCGTTTCCACTTGGCGTAGTTCCGGCTAGCGGGTACTATTTCACAGTTTCTCTGGCTCCATAAAATCGAGGTTCTTTCCGGGCCAACAACCGGGCTGAGTCGGGCTGAGTATGCTAAACTAGAGAGAGAATCGCTGGCAAGGGGACTACAACTACAACCAGATGAACATATTTGACCGTGATTTAATTGTAATACTCGTTTCAAAATGATGCCGAAGTAACAACATACTGATACCGGTTAGTAAAAACCATGAATTAATGCTTTGACAAGTCTGCAGACAGACGGCAGAGAAACACCTTTTTAAAATGCGTGTTTTCTAAATGGAGCTTGGCTAAGCTAACGCAGTATATGCTCCGACCGTCCACACTCACAACAACGGCCTACAGACATAAATAAACCAGCGACTGTATTCTCCATGACACAGACAGTCTGTGGTTTGTACTTGTTTAACTTTTGTCTAGTTTCTGAACAGATATGAGGAGCTGTGAGCTCTGAGTGCTAACAGCTAACGGCTGATGTTGTTTTTCTGTGGCTCTCATTGAAGATGACGTCACGGCTCCGCCTACACTGCGTTACTATAGTAACTGCCCCAGTTCCTAAACTGTAATGGAAACGCAGCATAAAGTGAGCCGGGCCTAATAAGGCATAAAACGAGGCCTGACCACTCCGTACTAAGCCGAGCGAGGCCCTGCAGTGGAAATGCGCCATTAGTGTGTTTAGGTGTGTGTATCTTGTGTGTGTGTGTGTGTGTGTGTGTGTATAAACCTTGTGTGTGTGTTTGTATATAAACCCTGTGTGTGTACCTTGTGTGTGTGATGCAGGTGTTTCCGGAGGCGGGGCTCTGGGGGCGGGGCTTGACCCAGGAAGCTGCGGCGATATTCTGTTTCCATGGGAACGGGGTGTTTCTTAAAGGGGGGCACAGACCTGCTGCTGTGGAGCACCTGAGGAGGTCAGAGGTCACTTAAATACTCTTTTTACTGATAAAACGTGTAAAAGATTAAGAAACACACTTTATTTGAATAAAATAAGTTTATATGAATCAAAAGAGACATTGATATAAACAACGAAACAACCAGCAGTCTACCTCCACCTAGTGGACAGGCAGCTGAACTACATGTATTCAAATAATAATATTAACAGTAATAATAATGAATGTAATGTATCACCTAAAAGAAGTACTTAATATAAAAAGGAGAAACGCTCATAGTATTATATTAAAACTGGTCAAAAAACGATCAGACTGCAAGGAATCTGGGTGTGACCCTAGATAACAACCTGTCCTTCACTGCAAACATCGCTGCTACAACCCGTTGCTGCAGATACACGCTTTACA